TTGTAGTTAAAAAAAAAAGAAATTTAAAAGGAGGTAATGATTTTTGAAGTTAAAAAAATGAAATTTAAAGGAAGTTATAAAAAACGAAAGGATATGATATTTTAAAAAAGGCGAAATTTAAAAGAAGAGGTATTGATTTTTGAAGTTAAAAATTTTTTTTGTTTTCAAAAAATAAACTGAGAGAACTTGTTATTTAACTAGTCACATTATTTTTATTTTATATGTTACACCTGTTACATCAAAATTGAAATTCACATAATTTTGAAAACCGAATTAATTCAAATTTGAATCTTTGTAACGTGTCACATTTATACAATGTGAATAAATATAAATTAACTTTTGTCATTAAGTTTATTCTTTTGTCAACAATTTTCAAGGAAAAAAAAAATGATCATCAAGGAATATAAAGTAATAAATAACTGCACATGCGAAGAATATCAAGTATGTTATGTATAATACTTTGCCTTTTTTTTCACGGGAATTCTCGGGGAAGATTTTCATTCATGTCGATTCTTTGTAATATTAGGTAGCTCAGCTGTATACTGTTACGGAAGCTTCAAAAGCCGAAACTGGCGGAGGAGAAGGAGTAGAAGTAATCAAGAATGAACCATATATAAATGATGAAAGCAAAGGACAATACACATATAAAATATATCACCTTTCCAGGTTTGTATAAAGTTGTAAATTATCCATTTTTTAAAAAAAGTATCGTTATTTTAACAGAATTTTTTTCGCAATTCAGTAAAGTTCCTGCGATTATTCGTTTAGTAGCTCCTAATGGGTCACTTGAATTATACGAGGAGGCATGGAATGCTTTCCCTCATTGTAAAACTGTTTTGACCGTAAGTATTAAAGAATATAAACAATGATTCATTAATTTTCAATTAATATATTTGATTTTGGATATTTTAAAAATAGAATGGATATATGAAAGAAAATTTTAAATTAATTACAGAGACAATGCATGTTGATAATAGTCGTGGTGAAATCGATAATGCTTTGAATATCCCTGTAGATTTGCTTGAAAAACGAAAAGGTATGATCATTGATATTGCCAATGATTGTATTGATCCAAAAGATTATAAAAAGGATCAAGATCCAACTTTATATCATTCCGAAAAAACCGGTCGAGGTCCATTGAAAGGTGACTGGATTAATACAGTTACACCGGTTATGACTTGTTATAAACTAGTTACCGTTGAATTTAAGTGGTTTGGCATGCAAAATAAAATTGAGTCTTTCATTCAAAGTACAATGCAATCATTGTTCACAAATTTTCACAGACAACTTTTTTGCTGCACTGATAAATGGTATGGTATGACCATGGATGATATTCGAGCTCTAGAAGATAAAACCAAAGAAGATCTGGACGAGGTATTTCTATAAATCCAATTTGTAGCTAATCTTTTTTTAGATTTATATATATAATTTTATTTTGTTTTCGTAGTCTCGTGTAAATCCACCAGTACCAGAAGCATAATTGTATTTTGTAAATAACATTGATTTGACAATATTGATTTTTGATCGACTAGGAGATTAATTTAATATATATGATAAAAAATGACGAAATAAATTTATTTAAATATACTCGAACTTGAATATTTATTTTGAAAGTATCAATTTGAAAAAAAAAGGTCATCATGATATGAAATGCTATAAGGTTTAACAGTAATAATTAATGTAAGAAATGTGAAGGATGAAAATTATCTTGAGCATCGAGAACAATAGTCACGGCTTTTTTCGTAATTCTTAATCATTCCAAAAGTATGCTAATTGCCATGGCAATACAAGCCAGAGAGACGTATGGACTCAATCGCTCTCCTAATATCAAAAACCATATCAAAATATGTAAAAGAACAAAAAAGAATCGCTAAATTCCCTACCAATTCTTGCAGCCTTCCAAAATAAACCCAGTACACTAAAAATGAATTGTAAAGGAAAAAATCAACGATTTGGAAATTTCGATTTAATCAAATTTAATCTTAAACTATACCCTGTTTTGTTTTTATCTAGAAAAGTAGGTGCTTGGGCTTTAATAAAAGTGCAGGTGCAAATGGCCAATAAAATCACAAGCAACAAGCTTTGGAAATTAAATAATGCCGACTAGAAAAAAGGAACGATCAATGAATTTGAAATATGAACTTGCATAATTTCAGGAGCCCTTTATTAAAAATTTACCATTTTCTGGAAAATGAAGCGATTACAAAATTTTTTAATGAGAAAAAAAAATTGATATTATTTTGATTAAAAAATTACGTTGCACGAATGTGCAGTTTTACGATCACGTGGTGAATTAAATGCCCGATAATAATTTAATTTATTATCGATATACTGTAAAATAAATAAATACTATACAAAATGTGAAAAGTTATTGTTCATTAACTTATTAATTTGCAAAATGAAGATTTGAATGGTTTTTTTTCCTCACTAAATTTAGAATATATTTCATTGGAAAAAAAAAATAAAAAAAAATAAAAATGCGGTAGATTAAAAAAGCATTGTAATATTAGTTAACAAATATAGTATGAATTTTTTCAAAATCCAATGGATTCTTAAGTTTAATATTATGATGGTTCGAAAAGGAATTATCCAAATCTTTGTCTAAAACGGGTAAACGAATTCGTCCAATAATTGAAGGTTTTATTCCAACATCACCATTCTATAATTCAAAAATGTGTTAATAAAAATCACTTTCCAGTAGTAACAACAAAAAAACAAACCTTTGAAGGCTTTTGTAAATTGTTTTTTCCAAGCTTTTGAAGCTTCAATTTTAACTCATTGCTTCGTTGTTGTAAAGTATAAATGACTGATTGCTGTGACTGATATTGATATTCTGGAGTCATCTTTAACGGCCTCCATTGTTTTTGATTTTCTAAAGTTCTGGTAATGTCAATAACTCGAGGTGAAGCGCTAACGTTTCGGAAATCCTAAAGAATGTTTCAAGTTAGAGAATCTTCATGAAGGCAACAAATGAATGAAAACAGCATTTAATGGTACCTTTAGTAGCGATTTGGCCTCTAATGTTACAGATTTCATCAATTCTTCTTCATCTTGATTCTTAAAAGCCCGGCGTCTCTTGGGTTGCAAATGCCAATCTAATGCGTTTAACGCATCTTTACCTTTCAAATGAGAATTCTCGGCTCTAAGATAACGAATAGCAAATTTCAAAGATTCGATCTAAAACATGCATTTTATTAGTAAATTAGGTTAAAAATACGAAAAATAAAATATAATTTTTATTTAACGTACCTGGCTAGTTAATCTCTGGTTTTCTAACGGATTAATATCCGTGAACCTTCCTAAATCGTTTTCAATATCTTCATCCTTTATTTCAGTATTACGAGGAGGAATAGCTTTGAAAATAAAATTTAATTAACAACTACATGATTATTATCATTATGAACAACCTTTACAATAACATAATATAAAAACCTCCGTCTTCGATATTCCCAAGTAAGACAAAATGTCGGTTCTGTTGTTCTAAAGTTTCGAGTTCTTGCTGAAGACTTTCCATAGCTTCTTCAAAGTCAGTTTCCTGTTTCCTTGAATTTTCAAGTTCTTGTTCCAGAGCGTTTATTTTGTCAGCCTATGCAAAAAAAAAGTTAACTCATTTTATATCATAAGTAAATAAATTATTATTACATGTAATTACCTGTTTCTTAACAGTTTCCATACGTTTCTCTAATAACTCTATTTTAACACTAGATTCTTGCAATAGTTGATCCTAATAAAAGGAAGGTAAGGTAAGCAAGCATAAACAGAGATTTATAAAAAATTATATCGATACTTACCTTTGCCTTCTTTTCTCTGATCAACTCACGAATTTCTTCTTGCTGCAGTTGAGCTTTACGTTCCATATCAGCATTTACAAGCAACTCGGCCTTCAATTCCTTCGCTCTAATATTCCAAGGGGCTTCTCCTTTTTTAACTGTATAAAATTTTGTTATAATAACATCAATATCTAAACTAAATATAAAATGATTCTTAAAAAATATCAAATTACCATAGGTTGAATTTTCAGGATCATTAGATGCATTATTTAAATTACAAATCTCTTGATATAATGTAAGCAACGACTTAGTGCATCCGTCCCACATATTCACTTCATTGATGCCTAATATATTTTCAGTAACCCGATAAATAATTTGTTGTAAACCACAAAGTAACAGCTCTTCTTTTGTATCTTTCTTCTCATGAATATAAACGGAGATACCCTTCCAAACCTATAATATATATGTGTGTGTAAATATTAGAAAAAGATTACAATCAAATGTTTAATACGATGAACTAACCTCTTGACAGAATGAAGTTAATTTTGTGCTAATTGAGAAACACATCTTGAATTGAGCAAGAAGGTCAGATTTAAGCCCCGCATTTTGATCTGCCATATCATCCAATCGACGAATTAATTTCCTAAATAAAATTATTAAATTGTATTTATTGTTCCCTTAAATTTAAAACAATATTCATAAGTCTCGTCTTCTACCTTGCTATAACTTTACTGCTTCTAGATTGAGAAACCAAACTTTGAAGTGGTAAGAAGAAATCAGAATTAAATTTATCGATTCCTTCTGTTACAATGATTTCTATGAAAATAATTGACTGTGAGTAATATTATGTGAATAAAAAATCGAATAATAAACAATTATAAAGATTTTACCTTCATCTTTACAAGCAAGCGCAACAGATTGTTTAAGATGACCAAGAGAAACCGCAATAGTATCTGCATTTAGGTCTAATCCTCTACTGTAAGCATATAATCTATCTGCTTCATCGATTTTGGTATTTGAAAGGTATATCTCAGCAAGATGTTCAAGTTGAGCGATGGATCTATATAAAAAAAAAAAAAAATTGTGAAGAACAATTTCTAATGATGATAAAGAAAAAAGAAACCAACCTTTGAACGTCTGTAATACATTCAGCTTCCTTAAGCTCTTCTTTTCTCAAAAGATCAACTATCGCATGGAGTCTAATGGGTCATGATAATCATTATAAATTAAGGGATATCTTTTATTCTCATTATATAGTCAAAATACGTACCGACGCTCTGTACCAACCAAATCATGATAAACTTGACCCATTTTAATGAAAGTTTCAACAGGACAAGTATTTACGAACGAAACAAGGCGTCTAGATATATCGGAAAACCATGCGAGTCTTTGACGGAACTGTTTTAAATTCAGAAGTATTAATACTTATAAAATAATTATTAAACAGTAACAAAAATTAACATACTTCACAAACAGCCATTAATTCTTCAGGAACTACTGTATTTAGCTTTTCTGGAATATTATGAATTTGGTCAACTTGCTTAATAATTAATTCAGATTTGAACACTAAACGTTTTAATAAAAGCAAGCAACGAATAGAATCATGTTCAGAACGGAAGAAAGAATCTGGCAAGTACGGCTTAACAGTAAAAATCGATAAAAATCAGTATAAAGTAAAAAAAAAAATTTAAATGAAGCAATCTTTATCATGAACAATATACACCTGTACAAAAGCTAAATTCTCCGATGCTTGAGTAACATCTAATTTACGAAGTTCCAGGTCTATTTGTTTTGCCTGAGCTTTCAGAACTGTAGATTGTAACTTGAAGTTCAGGTCAAGCATAGTTTGTGATTGGCTACTAAGATTCTTTGATTCTGAATATTGACTTTCTTCTTTTTGACGGAATTGTTCCAGATCACTATGGAAAAAGAATTAAATTAAGGGATAAATATTACATAAACTAATAAAAAAAACAAAAAGAATAAATTTATTAAACTGTACCTTTGTAAATTACCCACCAATTCACGAAATTGGTTTATAGTATTTTCATAATCAGCATTGGTTTCATCAGACATCTCGATGCGTTTCAAATATTCTCGAATGAGTGTATCTTTATGATCTGTGGAATTTATATAAGATAATTAATTAATAAAATTTAAAAGGAAAAATAGAGGTATATAAAAAAACTTGTGTACCAATTTCGGCTTGAAGTTGTTTTTCGTCTTCGATGTGACTTTCTTCAAGCTCGTCATTTAATTCCTTTAGAGCTTCAAGATCTTCAATTATAACCCTCATTTCTTCAAGTCTCTAGAAAGATTCCATTCAAATAAAAAAAGTTAATTCCTGATCAATAATTAACAGGATGTAGTAGCACTATAACTCTATTTACATCTCCTTGTGCCAAATTCTTTTCAGTAAGTTGCTCAAGCATATAATCGGCATTCATAGCATCATCAAGTCGAATCTTTAAATCTTCTATAGCACTTTCGGCTTCTTTTAATTGATTTTTCATTTGATCATGTTGAACTATATAATAGGAAATAATATAGTAAATTATATCATAGTTCAAAAATTTGTTATTATGCTATTTGACAAGTCACACATGATGCAATAATTAAAGATAAATTATTTTTAATATATATATAAAATAACCTTGGATATCCTGAAGAGAAACCAGTTCTTTTTCTAAACTCTTGATTTTTTTGTTAA